AAAAATTCAATAAAAACTTAACAATTACACTTAATCAAACAATGATTTCAATAAAACAAGTTGCTTTCACTTAATCAAACAAAAATTCAATAAAAACTTAACAATTACAATTAATCAAACAATAACTTCAATAAAAGAAGTTGCTTTCACCTAATCAAACAAAATTTCAATAAAAACTTAACAATTACACCTAATCAAACAATGACTTCAATAAAACAAGTTGTTTTCACCTAATCAAACAAAAATTCAATAAAAACATAACAATTACACCTAATCAAACAATGACTTCAATAAGACAAGTTGCTTTCACCTAATCAAACAATCAATTCAATAAAAAACATATGAATTTCACCTAATCAAACAATCAATTCAATAAAAAAAACATAGCAATATATGAATATAACCTAATCAAACAATATAACTTCAACAAAACAAATCAATTTCACCCAAGTCAATCAATAACTTTAAAAAACATATCAATTTCAAATATCTAAATGAATTGGTAAATGGTAATTGGTAAAACTTACTTGCTTCATTGTAGAAATTGAAAGAAGACGGTTAGATCAACTGCTTCAAGAAATCGATCAAGATTCAAGGCAAACAACAAAATCGATTTTGGGCTGTGAATCACGATCAAGAAGATAGAATTAGGCTGTGACTCGATCGACATTGATTATTTGATTAGGCATTAGGCAATCGATCATTCGATTGGAGCCAAGGAGTCGACGTCTGGAGAGCCGAGGAGGAGGAGATCGACCGACTGGACTGGAGGCAAGGCAAATAGGCAACGATCGGTTCTTTTTTTTTTTTTTTTTTTGCTTGTACCGATCATTAATTGATACTAAAATAATTGGGATGGACTATCTTTTTTACAAGCAATTAGCCCAATTGCTAATTTATCCACTTAAGTTTTATTTTGGGCTTTGGGTAATTGGACTATTAGATAATAATCGATTAAAACATTGGATTGTGGGCTCGTTATTATTTTTTTTCGTTTGGTAATTCCCGATAGAGTGACAATTTTTTTTATGTAGTTGCACAATTTTTTTAGTAGTTGCACGATTTTTTTACGTAGTGGCGCAATAGGTAAAAATTAAAAAAAAAAAAAAAAAAAATTCTACTACGTACGCGGAAGCTAGGTGTTGCCGGTGCCACACCGGGCACCTACAAAGGATCGCCCCTGCTTAAATGGTTAAGCCACTAAGTCTAGTTCTCAGATCTGATCCTAAATAATGTCCTAATACGTAAAGTTGGCAATTTTACTCCTTTACATGCCTTAATGGGACCCAATACTTGTTTTTATCCATCTATATCCCTATTATAAACACCAACTCTTGCATGGTTCATCAAAATCCCTCAAAATGACATTTTTATGACTTAATGACCTCCACAAAGACCAAATATGAGGCTCAAAGATTCTATAGTAACTTCCACACTCATAAGAACCATAACCATGGGACCAAATCATAACCCAATCTAGTTCTTAAAAAGAATTCCATCAACAACGATGAAAACTCTACATTATAATATTACTTTGATTTTACAATAACTTTTGTTTAATATTTATATAGACGTAAAATGATTATTTATTGTTTTTATATAGATTTAAATCATTATTATCTGTTTTATAAACTAGTGTTTATGTAAAACTGATATGCACAACTGTTTACGTAACTAGTATGTTATGTATTGGTCAATATTTGGTTATAAACATTTACAGTGGTTATACTATCAAACTTTTGGTTATAAACATTACAGTGGTTACGCCATCAAACTTTTGGGTTATAAACATTTATAGTGGTTAAGTTGTCGAACTTTTGGGTTATAAACATTTACGGTGGTTATGTTCTCGGACTTTAGGGTTTTAAACATTTACAATGGTTATGTTGTAAAACTTTTGTCTGGTAACTTTGACACTTAAAGTTAGGGCACACACACATTTAGATCCGTTGATCAATGGTTTATATGAGACCTTTCATCATCAAGTGCAATGCTTAGCAATACCCCTGACCTATAATCGTTAATCATGCATGAGCAGGAGAGTTATGTATAGAACTATAGAAACTGACACCCACACCTGTGGTTGTTAGTTACAACCTTAACGAAAGAGTCATACCGGATAATAACTATCTAACACATCTTTGATGTTTGATGAAGTCTCAAAAAAACATTTTTACGACGTACAACATTAGCTTTATAGGGACTCATAGTAAACTTTGAGAACACCCTAAATGCATTTATATAAGTTGATACAATATTTATAAACAACGTTAACCATCCATGATGTCGTCTCACCACCCAGTGTTTCCGTCATTATCCGGAGGTGTGACATCATGCTCATCCCTAGAAGAATATGTTGGAAAAATAATTAGCAAATTGAAAACTCGTACAAAAAAGTTACGAGGATCAAAACCGGTGCTAGTGCCCGGTATTTAATTTCCCCTGAACCAGATTGTACTAGAACCGATATTTCGGGGAACCGATTTTTTGAAATTTGGAGGAACCAAATACCAAAATTATTTACCTTATACGGTACCAGTTTGTTTTGATTTGGTACAGTACTTCTGCTCCTACAAGTAACCATATATTAACCTTAAATTGTGATTTAAATATATAAACGGACATATGCACGAGTCAAGTCATCTTTTGCTTCCTAATACAACTAACCATATATTAGCCTTAAATTGTAACTTAAATAAATAAACAAACAGTTTAACCTTGTTATGTTATTTTACAATCTAACATTGTTAAGTATGTGACGTGTCACGTCTAGAAATAAAAACATACAAAAATTAGAAAGGACTTTGAAAGTGATTGATTTTTAGGTTTAACCAACACCTTGTGGACACCCCCATGTGCACATGGCTTGTAACATTTCATTTATTGGAAGGTGTCATGTTTGTCAAAAAATGGTTTTCTTACACCCACATATGAACCATTAGTTTCACTTTCACATTGTTTTGAAGGACCAAATAACTTATCGTTTGATTATGAAAAACTCAAAATGTATTAGTCTGTTTATATATAATTAGTCCTTTACAATAAATTGTACCTGCAGACGAGTTATGTTTTTTAGTTGACAATTGATATGCTATTATTGGATTTAGCTTTTAAAAAAAAATGTTTCATTTGACATTAAAAGTTTTTAGTTTTTATCATAAACAAAAAATCCAAATCAAAAGCTATTTTAAGTAACATTTAACAAAAAAAAAACATTTTTATATTTTTACAAATTAACTTGATTAACATTTAAAAGAAAATTATATTTCTATATTATAATTTATAAAGATATAACTTTATGTAATTTTATATCTTTTTAAAAGCTTTCCATTATTTTTTCACCGAATATTAATATACAAATAAAAAATATAATTTTTAATTTCCAAATAACTTTATTGAACACATCTTCACTTTACTTACGATCATCCTCTATGGTCTTCACGACCACAACCCCCTTCCACCTTGACGTCACCACCATCATCTTCCTCAACATAGTCGGAATGGTGCTCAACATCGTCTTCCTCATGATCTGCAAAAGAGAAGAAGAAATGAAGAGAGGAGAAGAGAAACATGATTGGTCGTCAACCTCCATCCTCTCCAACACGAACCACCACGACCATGAGCCTCATGGTTCGTGGCCAGCTAGACCACACAAAGCCTTCGTCTTGGGTATACCAAAGAGCCTAATAACCAACTATGCAACTAACCTACCAACTTCATCAGGTATAAATAAGTTTTACATTAACTTTGTTTCTTTTAATATTCTTACATAATATTATTTCACTTTACTTAATAACCAACTATACAACTAGCCTACCAACCTCTTCGGTACAAATAAGTTTTACATTACTTCATTTCTTTCTATATTCTTTTTATATTCTTACGTAATATTATAGTATTTTTCTAGTGGCTTAAAAACCACTACTTTATTGTTATAATACGTAAAAGACCTTTTGCAGATGATTGATGATAATGTGTCAGAAAAATAATTCATCCTATTTGTTTTCTATAACAAACACGGATGGTACTTTAATATAATTATATTTTTATGCCTAGAAAAACATCTCATATCTTCCTAATTAACTTCTATAGATATACATGTTTTTTTTTTAATGTTGGATGTGTGCAAGGCGGTTACAAAAGTCAAATATTACCATCTCACATTTTTATATATTATAACATAAAATGAGAGTGGTGTTCTCGTATTATAACATAGTATTAAACGAAAAGAAAAATAAAATGAAATAATCTGATTGGGTATTGCCTCTCGCGCTCGTTACCACATTTCATGAAACTACATCTCATAACAAGAGGTTGAGGCGCTGTTCCAACTGTCGTTACCACGGCGTTGAGGTGCTTCGACGTAGGCAAATACACCACTCTGCGGCTCGTACCGAGTAGAAAAAAGATAATAAGAGATGAAAATCGGTGTTTCACTATTTTTGAGTTAAATTTTATATTCATCACCATTATAATGGGCTTTTATATATATATATATATATATATATATATATATATATATATATATATATATACACACAGAGAGAGAGAGAGAGAGAGAGAGAGAGAGAGAGAGAGAGAGAGAGAGAGAGAGAGAGAGAGAGAGAGAGAGAGAGAGAGAGAGAGAGAGAGAGAGAGAGAGAGAGAGAGAGAGAGAGAGAGAGAGAGAGAGAGAATAAACAACGTAGCAAATGAATTTCTAATTTTGCACTTTAATAATAATACCATGAAATTACAAACTTTATGACAAGTACATTATGATGCTTTTTAATCTAAATAAGGCAAGTTTCTCTTTCGTAATTAAGGAGAAACCGGCAATAACACTAGAAATTTATGCGGGCTGCAAACTAGCCACCTCAGCAATCCCCTAGTCCTCCACCCCAAATCTCACTCAATAAAAACCATATACAAATTTCTTTAAAATTTAGATTGTAATTTTGAATTTTTAAATAATAAAATTCAAATTCTGACCTTTTCCCTTTCGTATTAAAAAAGAAAAATTAAAATTGAGCCCCTTGAAATGTCTGACCAAATTGCCAGTTTGATGGTGCCGCATTATAGCTTGTGATGGTCTTTCCGTCACTTGTTGTGACTTGAAAAGAAAGACTTTGTCCGTTAAGGTATGAGTTGCTTTGCCAGTTTTGCCCCCAGTTCCTTGACATGGGTTGCCACCCGGTTTTCGACCCTTTGATTGACACCGAGTGAACATCCCCTGCACCTCCAACGTTGGTGATCAAAACCAAGTTGAAATATGAATGACCATTTATAGTAAACCTTACACCTCCTTTCTTCATACAAGGCACTCTATAAATCAAATTAATCAATTTAATTAAAACTTTACAATAAATATCGTGACATTACATATAAAGTGATAGAGCATCATTCAATACCTTTGAAATGACACAGGTACAATTCCCGCTCGATATTGTGCAATTTGTAGGAAAGCAGGCTCAGCCAGGTCAAAATGTTGAAGGGGAGGGTTGCACCACCCACCATTATCGTTAGACAAACCAGGGTTAGGTGGACAGAAATTGGTAGCAGTTACAATTATGGAACCAGGGAGACACCATTTAGGGTCGTCATTGCATCTCATCTCGTAACAAGACCCACAACTCAAACCATTATTGAATAGAGCAGTGCTAAGTGCTGCAGTGTTTGTACCATATCCTTGGCTATACAAATTTCCATATCCGCAAGCACCACCTAGAAAGAAAGCAATAGAGTCACAATGATGTACTTTTTCAAAATAATCGTATTCATTGTTTATATATTTAAAAAAAAAAAAAAACTTTTTTGCACACCCATTGTTCCTGAGGCATCCCCGCCGCCGTAAAAAGTGGCATGGCCACTTTCCCAACCACCATAGACAAGATTGAAAGAGCATAGAAGTAGAGAAACAGTGGTGAAAGTTGAAAAGGCCATTGCAGGAGAGAGATGTAAAGTGAAGAAAGAGGTTGGTATACTATTAGAGGGAATGGTGTTAACTAACTTATATAGGGAAGTTAGAAGGAGGCAAAGGGGGTTGGGACCATATGTACTAGAAAATGACACTTTTAGCATATGTTGAAGCAACCATATCCACAAGAGTGAGTTTAAAATTAAAAAAAAAAAAAAAAAAAAAAAGGATAATGCCAATTTATTTTCTAACTTGGTTGGTTATTATATAATAAATCAATCAAAGTTGCTAGAAATTTATGTCGTTTGGAATAAGGAAATCATACAATCAAATTTGATAGAAACTTTATGTTGTAAACCCACTATTAGAAAATTATAAGCTTCTAATATATTGTGTGTGATATGAATTTGTTTGAATTATTATCTAAAATTTATTTATTGAAAATTTTATTGATAAGCGTAATTAATATATTACGGCTTTATAAGAGATTTGTATCCATCGTCCAAGTTGAACATGCGGTTGTTCCAATTGAAATACCAAACTGACGGCCCCATTAGCACATGCATTTCCTCAACAATTTTCTTCTTTCATTTATCTTTTTTTTTTTTTTTCCTCTCCTCCTCCTCATTTATTTGTTATTAATTTGTTCATAATTACTATTCAATGCTGTCTTCAAACTCCATATACTAGATTTAATTAAAAATAATTACAAATTTTAATTTGAAAATTAATAATGTGGCCAAATAATACGTGACGAAGTGTGTAACTAAATTATTACAAATGATTATAAAGCCTATAATATATTGTTTAAGTAACAACTTATAACTTATTGTTCTTAAAACTTAGTGAGTTAAATCAAATCGATTAATTCATAGGTAAATTAATTAAAAATTCACAACTAATTCTTATAAACTCGTTCTTAAAAATCTAAGATTGGACGGAATGGGGCACGGTGAGAGCAATGGGAAGCATCCCGCACGGAGGAACACTGCACCGGCGGTGCGGGAAGAGTGGCGCAGGGAAAGGGTGAGGGGTTTTCCCTCCTTCGACAATTGGCTGGAAATGTTTTTATTTTTTGGAAATAACCGTTAAAAAACGGTTATATATATATATATATATATATATATATATATATATATATATATATATATATATATATATATATATATATATATATATATATATATATATATATATATATATATATATATCGTTCCAAATAAATAATTTTTTTTTGCCATATGTCCTCTTTTCTTTCATTTGGATACATGATATTTTCTAAAATTTTCGAAATTTCTATTGTCCATTTGTCATTTTATTATATTTTTAATTTTATTAAATTAAAATTCCACGTTTAATATGTAATGTAATATATATGTGTGGTATTTATTAGAAAGAGTTTATTAGAAATAGTTTATATATGTAATAGTTTATATATGTAATATATATAATATATTTAATATATTAAAGCCTCATTGTTCAAAAAAATTTCATTTTTCTTATAAAATTCAAACTTTTTAAATTGTTAAAATTTCATATATAATTTAATTTTTAAATAAACCTATGTAATACATGGGTGTCACACCTAGTGTATGTGTGTGTGTGTATATATATATATATATATATATATACACACACACACACATACATACATACATACATACATACATACATATATATATACACACACACACACATATGATGCGACTTCGGCTCCAACCACTTGCTATGAGGAAGAGCTTCCACGTCGGAGACGGATCTACGAGGTCACAACAGACAAGCCTGTTAGAGCCACCCAAAGGACTATGCCTTGGGAGCAGACTCCGACGGTCAAATTAGATCATCTGGTAGATCTGAGATGGTCCTCCATAGCTGGAGAGAACCATCTTGTAGCTGGCGGTGGTGTATGTTGGATGATGGCGGCAGGTGGCGACTGAGCCACCCGGGCGGAGTATAATGTCGCAGCTGAGCCAAATGGAAGATCCCCCTCCATGGAGGAGATACTATTCATCATATAGGGGACAATTAGGTCAGGCATTGGGCCAACCCAATTCAGGCCCAGCTAGCAAGGAGCTAGGCGAGGCCGCCCGGAGGCGCCGGGCGGGGATAGCGAGCGCGTACCAGGCAAGGCTGGTGAGCGCGCACTAGGAAAGGCTGGCAATGGAGTGCTTGGCCAAGAAGAGCCAAGTCGGGCCGGCGGGGGAGTCCTCAGCAAGGCTGACAATGGAGTGTCAGACCAGGAAGCGCTAGGCGGGCCGGGGGGAGAGTCCCCAGCAAGGCTGGCAAGGGAGCGCCAGGCCAGGCCGACGAGATGTTTTCAAACTTTGTTTTTTTTCCTAATCAACATTCGTCGAATCAACCTCAAACTCAAACCCAATCCCAACAACAATTCCAACTTGTCGATGAGATGGATGACTCGGACGAAGAAGAGATGGTTCCCGAAACTCAACTCACACCACCCCCACAACGACGCAAAGGAAAACAACAAGCGTGTAAAGGCGTCACACAACCAGGAAGACAACAGCCGACAACATGGCTTCCACAATCCACAAGAAGAGCTAGTTTTGGTAAAAGCTTGGGTTGATATTTTTGAGGATTTGAAGACGGGAAATGCACAACCGGGAGATCATTTTTGGTTTCGCATTTTAGAACAGTTTTAGGAGGAGCTAGAAAAAGATGACGACTACCGTATGAAACACCAACTTAATTCGAAGTTTCGAGAAATAGCAAAGGGGGTTTAAAAAATAACGGGTTGTACAACAACTTAAAAACCCAACGAAAAGCGGCCAAGGCAACGAAGAAATACTTCAAGAAGCTTTATAATTTTACCTTGAGGAATTCGAAAACCCATTCAAGTGACACGATTGTTGGAAATTATTAGTTAGATGTCTTAGGTGGAAAAAATATGAGCAAAATTCTATTTTTTGGAATACAACAATTAGAGGGAACGAAAATAGGCTCTAGTGGTTACATAACTTTCTCCAATGCTCCTGTCGGTCTAGATTTAAACCAGGAAGATGAACTCGAGCTGGAAGAAATTTTCTAACCGATAGATATGGCCAAAGCAAAGAGCAAGGGAAAAGGTACCTCTTCGGGTGCATCGAATTTCAGCATGGACGTTAACGAAATGCGGAAAATAACAACGTCGTTTAGTCGATATAATTTTAATTTCTCTGAACGTTTGACGTTCAACAAAGAAAAAGAAGAAGCAAGGAAGAAGGAACGTATGGAGAGACAAGAAATGAAGGATATGAAGTTCTTGATGGAAAACACCGACCATCTCTCGGGATCGGCTCTTGAGTTTGTGATAAAGAAGAGCGAAAAAATTATAAATAAATATTTTTCATAGGTTGTTGTTGGTTTGTTTAGTTTTTTGTTTGTGCTTTAATTTTCTACTTTTTAAATCTTAGTTTTATTGTAATTTTTATTTTAATTAATGAAATACATGTTCTTTTTAATTAAATTTTTTTATTGTTATTAATTTGAAAATTATAAATTATAAATTATAAAAATTAATTAATTTTATTTATAAAAAAAAGTAATGAGGGAAGCTTCCTACCTATTCCTTAGGTTTAAGTGAAGAAAGGAAAGCGAGAAAAAATTTTGTAGCCCACAAAAAATGATGTTAGTTTCTTGAAAAGGAAAAATTCAAACTAACATAAACTTACGCCATTCATTCTTTTAACTAAATGTTGATTAGTAATAGTTTCTATTATAATGTTTATAAAAAGGTTATTGATATTTTAACACATTTATACGACTTAAAAAATTAAAAATATGCTCCTAATGAATTCCTTAACACAAAATCATAAACGCACAAAAATTAATTTATTGTAAGTTTTTTTTTTTCCTATTTAATTTTCAGAAAAGGAAAAACAGATTTTGAAGCATACATCACTAATGTTGTTTTTGACATGCTACCTGAAAAACTAATTGGCAGTTAAAAAATTATTTGAAAAAAAATATTTGGAAAAAACAAACAGATAAGCTAGTTAAAATATATAAATTGATACAAAAAACATCTACAATAATATGTTTTTATAATTAATTAAAAGTATATATTTCAGAAATCTTAAAAATAATAGCTTTTAAAAAAACCAGCTTAACAATATTTTTTGGCTTTCTGAACATGACATTTTAATAAAATTTAAAAAATAAACTAATTTTTCAGCAAATAGTAGCGCGTCAAACACTACCTAAATATATATAAGTATATAATTTTATGATATATATTAGAAAGTCCTGAAATTGCGCCATATCATTGTAAGAGAATGTGCAAATTTGTGCATGAGGTTTTTCAAGATAGTTGAAGATTGGATGCTGAAATTACTCATTTCAATTAATAATAATTTTTTTGCTTATATTATATTGCTATTATTTTTTTATACTAGTATGATTTTTCATTGTAGTTGAAGATTGGATGTGTATTTTTAAATGCTCGCTAATCCCCATTTATTTTCAAGAACTATATTATAATTTAGGCTTAATGTCATATTCTGAAACATCTTATCGAGAGCTATTTTGAAATAATAATTTTAATTATTTTTAAATGTTTTCAAAAACCATTTTAAAAACGTGTGGAATTCCCAAAACATTAAAACTCTTTTAATATCAATGTAAGTGTCAATATATATATATATATATATATATATATATATATATATATATATATATATATATATATATATATATATATATATATATATATATATATATATATATATGGAAAAGTGAATATGTGGCTATCGTGTATGTAATGTTAGGATTAGAACCATCAAAATTGAGTTCATTTTGATTAAACAACATTTTTTTCTTTCATTGTTAGTTTCTTCCTGTTGCTTTTGAACTCATATTATATTTGATTTAGTGATTAATCAACAATATCTATCTATTTCAAATTTGTTTTTTATTAAACCTTTAGTAGGTTTCATAACTTCATTTAATATCTATCTTATGTATATTTATATGGTTTTTCTATCATGATTCATGGAAAGAGGTTTAGTGGGTTTTTTAATGAACAATTTCAATATTTCAATGTAGTTTTCTTAACTAAATTTCAATTTGGA